CCGCAGTATTTCTCACAGCAAGTTCCATTTAAAAGGCAAGGACATTGTTTCCCACAAGCAGTCTGACAACCACAAGGATTATATTGCTTACAGGGTTGATCCTTTCTATCAGTAATCCTCTTTCTGATGGAATGATAACCAGCCGACTTCCATGTGTACTTTAAACGACGAACTCTACCTCGCCTCCTCATAAACCTTGACCTCGATCTATCCTTACCCTGAAATTATCACCAGAATAAACTTTGTGCTTTTATAAAGGGCTGAGCATTCAAACTCCAAGTTCCAGACAAGAAGTTGCGCTGGTACAGGAAGATGATAAAGCATAGACTGTAGTCAACCTTGGTATGACCTTCACAGAGAGAATTTGAACCGTCGGCAGCTCTACATGATCCTTTGTTTTCAATGAAATTCATGTATTGGAATACATCTGCACATGTTTTCATCCCACTCAAAAGATTTCTTGCAATCAAACAGCTGCCAGAAAAAAGAAAGGATTCCCCAATTAAGTTGATAGGAACATCAGGCTATAATAAATATAAGTGCCCACAAGCAGATGCCTTCTGAAAAAATTTAACCATTGACAAGGAAAAACAGGTATATTAGTACATACGACTAGTACACTTTAACTTGCAGAAAAAATTCAGTTGCAAGTTTAAGAGTGAAAACTACTGACTTCTGACATTATAAAGATAATCTGAAGCACATGAATGGATATTAACTCAATGTGCTTGTAGTATTGGTATTTGATACAATAATTTAGTACTTTCTCTCTTAAGGATACTTGATGAATATAATTAAACGAAAATGTTCACTTAGGAAATAGCAACTTGTAATGCTTCTTGCATCCAATTAATTCAGCTCCATTGAGCTAAACAATTGTGAGCGTAAGTAAAGGAAATCCAATCACATTAGTTAATTGGACCAATGATCCTTGCCTATGGACAGATATTCAATAAGTGATAAATCGAGTTTGTCTATAGCAGTTATGTAAACAGAGGGAAGGTCATCTATGATCATTAAGTAGGAATGCCTTGATAAAATCAATTATCAAATGTCTTCTCATGCAATCAAGAAAGGCAAAAGGATTTCCTAGAAGAACACAAAACTAAAAATTTGGATAACCAGAGAGTATCTGTGTCTTCATCCTGTTTTCCATCTGACTGAAGGTCATCTATGATAAATTTATAATGTTTAAGTCAACCAATGAAGCAGGATGCCATTAATAAAACCAACTATCAAATATCTTCTCATGCAATAAAAAAAGTCTTAGAAGAACATTTCAAGAAAAGTAAAAGTAGTACTGCCAGATGTTATACGTTGCGGTGAACTCAGTGCAGTTATTCCGCGTTTTTCCCCTCTTCTTCCTTTTTCATTCAGAATCAAGACTTCAATTTGGGATTTTCTGCCTCCACCCTAATCTTTTACCACCTAAGCTTAGGTCTCACAGAAAATTAATTGTTTCCTTTTGAAGATTATGAACAATTAGTCTACATTTCATTTCATACAGAGTCGGTAGGACAAGTGATATGAACTTTTACTTTAGAGATCTCATATTGCTTAAAAATACAAAGTAAGAAATGCTAAATGGACCACAATATGCAACTACAATCTGAGAAGGAGAAGACATAGGTCCAAATGATGAAAACAGACTTCCATGGCGACTTTATTTAATTAGGAAATGTATATGGTGTAAAATATTTTGTTTTCTAAGGGAAGTGTACGGGATACGGTGCAATATGACAGGCAATGCATACTCAAAACTAGTTAGTGTAATTTAGCAAAATTCATCATGCTGCATAACGCATGAAGACTCGATTTTCTACAAAAGAGAACAATACATCTAGTGGGATGCATGCCAAGCAAAGATCAAATCAAGTTCAGCTACTTAACAGAGATTGTGCGCTGTACCAAATAAATTTTTCAAATAAATTGATGAATGATCATGATGTTATATTCACTACTATATGATAGCCTTTGTATAAAGCCTAATAATGTAATGGCCTCAAAGCCTTGCGAAATTGTACCTCTACACGAGTATGGTCTATGTGTGCACATGTACAAATAATTTCCGGAAAAGTTCTATATTAAATTAAAAGTTTGTACTTTACCCACTAGTTTAAAGCATAATTGGGAATAATAAACATTAATTTTCTTCTCTGTTTTGAGAGAAACAAGTGATATATCTTGTTGAATCTTATTTCTTAATTTGTCATCTTCACCTTACCATAGGGGAACTTTTCATATCTACCTTTATCTAAAGGAAAACATCCTAAAACCATCTTGTTTAATAAAAAGAGTTAATTTGATCTTAAATGTACAATACTTAACATTAGAAACGATGAAACATCACGTTCCAATTCATGCAATGCATATCAAATAGCTCCAAAGAGTCTAAAAAATTACTAAAACTAAGAAGTAAATCAGACAATTCAGTACAAGCACAATAAGTGTACTAAAAGTGCTCGAGAAGTATTCAAGAAGTGATGTGCTCAAAAGATAAACATCCAACATTCACCATTCATTCTTGATAGCAGTATGCCAGTATCCATGTTGCTCATTTGCTTCACATTTACAGAGCTGTTGAAGGTAGCTAAAAGGGGTTACGTTGGTTAACCTGAAGTAGTAACAATCTTGCAGCGTAGGCATAGCTGTCACCTTTCATCGCTATGATCAGGAGGTGTTATTTGCAAATTGAATATTACTTGAGGGCTTACTTGCAATGTTTAAGTTAAATTTTTAACTTGCATGTGGATAAAATTTGTTATAGTACTAAACTAAGTCATAATCTTGAAAACAATGACCTTTGACAAGTCTTGTATCAAAAGACATTTACCTTATGAATACAGAGCAAGCCTTCTACAAAACTGAGTGAAATAAGTGTGCTAAGGTGACTCCATAAGCAAGTATCGGAACTCGGCCAAAATCAAACCCTAGATCGTCATGGTGGACCCACGCTGGTAACTTCTTGAGTGAAGATCCCAAGCTGCCCTAACAGTAACTAATTAACAGAGAAAATCTTTCCTAAGTTCGACAGGAAATCGAAATGCAAATTAGACCTGTTATGCTTGGAAATTTGGCTTAGCACTGGACATAATTCTTTATTGAAAGTTCATCATATTTTCCCAAAGTTCTAGACCTTCTAGCCAAGGAGAATTTCTGAGAAATACTCCTTTGAAGTATGGCATAAATTTTTGCATCTCTCTCACACTTACAAAATTCCCTTCTTCTCACCATAATTTTCACAGCAAGCATTTGGCACTAATTTAGAGGGTTGACACTGAATAATAGTAGATTCGAATTGCCAAAGGCTTAGATGATCAGCAACGAAACAAAACAAAGAAAAGACTTCCAACCCTGCTCTAAAAATAATCAGAACCTCGTGAAAAGATATTAATATTTTTCAAATAAAATTAGGAATCCTCATTGCAAAAGGCACTGAATTTAAATACTGAAATACCACAGAAAATAATAAATGCGAACAAAATTCTACATCAATAAAACAATACTTCCAGTTTATGTTTTACAGTTCACCATGTTAACAAGATTCATGGGAGCAATTTACGACAAGTTTCTAGAAAAATAAAGCTGAAGTGTGAAGAAGCAGACCAAGACGCAAGGCTTCATCCTATTGACGAAAAAGAAGATAAATATAATAAAGCTTTGCAGCATATTAAAGCCCTAACTTTTTCCTACCTTGCTCTGAAACCTACTTATGAAGATCCAATAATCAAAAATTTACGAAAAGAAATCCATATCCTGGTCTGTTTAAGTTACATCTCCTGGCTCATATTTACTCCCTTCATTCAAGAATGTAACCCTAAAATCAAACTTGTAGCCTTCACCATTGTGGGAAATCATGGATTTCACTTGTAAGGGTAAAATTTTAAAGTCAAAGAAAGCAGGAAAAATCGAGACACTCGGAAATAAGAACAATGGAATATGGTAAATTAATAAGAAAAACTGTTAGTAAATTTAAGATGTTCTATCCTAATTCAACTATATCAGATCTTTACTGTGTCATGTAATTTCATTGTTTAGTTATTATTCCCTTCCAAGCATTTCTACCATTGTTAAGAAAGGGTTCACGTTTTGAGTAAAATTATAAAATCAGGAGCTGTAGTTGGATCATTCCATTGCTAGCCTCCACCTATATCCAAGAATGAGATGGTGGCGAAATTTAAGGGGCTTTCTCGCTGATCAATTATCACAGTGAATTCTTCCTCAAGTTGCATCACGAAGAAACATGCAGAAGATTAAAAAATAACAAGAACAAAGAGTTTAAAGAGATTATCTGAGGAGATGTCCATTGTAATTTTGTGGAACTCCCTCCGCCGATACTCTTTGATCCAACTACGTACATTTAATCACTTTGAATTCATAGCTTAAAGTCTTAGATGCCAGAATTCTACTTATTCGTGTTTTTTAAGATCCGGTTACGAGATGTCCATTGCAATTTTGTGGAACTCCCTCCGCCGATACTCTTTGATCTAACTAAGTACATTTAATCACTTTAGATTCATAGCTTAAGGTCTTAGATGCCAGAATTCTACTTATTCGTGTTTTTTAAGATCAGGTTACAAGGAGTTTAAAGAGATTATCTGAGGAGACGTCTATTGAAATTTTGTGGAACTCCCTCCGCCAATATTCTTTGATCCAAGTAAGTACATTTAATTACTTTGAATTCATAGCTTAAGAGTCTTTGATGCCAGAATCTACTTATTTGTATTTTTTAAGATTGGGTTGGGACGTGTATTTTGAAGTTTTAATATAAATTTCTGAATTGAAGTCTATTGTTTTTTGACTTCACATTTACTAGAAAGTTTTCGGATAACATGTCAAAATGCATGAGTTGTCAATATTTCCCATTATTAACATCCTAGAAAGATTCCTACAGAAAGAATGCCAATTTGCTTCCTAATGGTGAAATCATAAGCATAAGCAACATTGAGGACAAATAATGAATGAGTACAATGATATAGTAGACACAATATGAAAACTATTATGCAGCAAATCTAGTACAATTAGGAAATACAAGAGGAATGCATCAAAGTGTGCTTTATGTGTTAAAAGTTCATTTCCACTGCAACAAAACTCTGAAGTTATTCTCAAGATTGAGGGATACCAATTATGCTCTAACATGTCCCAGATGATTGTATGACCCTTTCACGGGCCAAACCCCATTCGCACACTGCAGTACTCCACTTTAAATGTGTGGCTGGAGGAATTTTAACCTGGGTTGCTCTGACACCATTTAAAGTTCCCTTCCATTAAACCAAAACACCATAACCAACATTACAGTGAGGGTTGAGGATTGTAACTAATACTACCATGCATATAGCTAGATGTATGTGCAAGTGTGTGCCGGCATTATCTATAACATGAATCGTTAGCAATAAAAGTGGTTAATACAAGAGCTATCTACTGGTTATTTAAATTTATCTAATCAGGTATTAGTAATGCATTGCATATGTATGACAATTGAAGTAACTTAATGAAATTAACTTCAAGAACTGTAACAGCGTTAAATTTTAGATGAAGGCATCTAAAATGTGTAGATTATGGCAGACAGGCAAGTCAATAATATTTTACTCATTTATTTCCCTTCTCATCCACATTAAAAGAGAAGGAAGCAAAGGTGAATCAAACAGAGATTAGAACAAAAAAATGTATTTAGTGTTAAATAAAAACCAAAACTGAACATGGAACCAGCTACCACAGGTACCAAATAAATACGAACTGACCTATTCCTTCCAAAAATCTCTAAACCTTTTGCAAACAGGCTCTTCTCGATAATTTTCCAGGATTTACAACCATTTTCAGGTTTGTAGATGTTCTCATCAACAAACTCTTTCCTTGAACAGTCATCGTCATCTGCAGTTGAAGTTTCCTTGGACATCTCATCTTCAGATCCATTATGAACATCAACTGGTGGTGAACTGAAATTCTTCTGCAGAGGACTCTTTCTTCCTGACTTCCTAAATGTTGCTTTTTTAAGGATTTTGTTCCTCGAAGATGAACTAGTATCATTGCTATCATTGTGTGTATTCGATCTAAGTTTCAAATCTTTGGGCCCAAGGGATCCACTTGCAATGGAATCTGACTCTGACTGTGCAGTTTTCTTTTGTCTTTTACGCATGCAAATAAGAACACGTTCAGCTACTCTTTTGTTGCTTTTCTTTCGAATCCCACTTTTCACTCCAAGCTTACTTTTTGAGGGTGATGAAGAAATATTAGCAGAAGCACCATCATGGTTTGGATGTACTTCTGACTCGCTGCTTTCTGATACAACTCTAGCATTGGAAGATGCACTTTCACTTTGATTACATCTCCTCCTGCCAACAGAACCGCCATTGGATTTCTTTCTGGGAGAATGACGGACACCAGCACTACTGGAGGAAGGAGTTAGTTCTTCAAAAACATGAGATGTCTGAGAATTCACTGTAGCCATGCTTTCTGATTTAGCAATCTGAGAAAATCACAAGTCAAGAAGAATTATGCTAAAAACCTGAAGCTTTACCAAGTAAACTATTTCAGCATAGGATGATGCTCAAGTACTTATGCTTTCAAAAATGGACTGAGTTCATACCAGCCTGTAGCAATGAATACCACAAGGTGCCCCTTCATCTGAGCTGCTCAAAGGATGTTGTTTTTCCACCTGAAATAGAAGGGGAATAAATAGGTAGCAAAAAAATAAGCAAGTAGTTTCTATAGTTCACCAACATACAGGGAAAACTAAATCCTGAGAACACCCATGTAATCTGCAATCGAAAACCTGGAGACAACAAGAGTAAGAAAAGAAAAAACAGTCAGCACACAGAATAACACATATATTAACAAATTCTTCAGAATGTTCTAACTGCATAAGTAAGACTTGTACTGGTACTTTACCAGACATCGTCGACAAAAAAGGTTGTCAAAAGAATCCAATGATGCGTCCAGATCTTTATCCAGAAATCCATCATAAACTTTCACATCCAATTCACCTTCTTGCTTTTCTTTGCAATTTTCAGGTTTCTCCCTCATAAGAAAATGTTCATATCTTGCCTGTATAAGATGTTCGATGGTGTTTCATACCTCTGTAAATGCCAGCAAAAACTGAATGGGAAACAGGTAAAACCCAAGTTCATACTAGACTGATTCACATCAAAAACAAACTTTAAAAATCTGACATTTGTTTAAAAAGTGTAGCTGGACAATGGAACAACAAGCATACTGGAGAAAAGACATTAATAACATACCTTAATTTCACAAGGACTCTTCCCAAGGCACTGAGCCAATGTATCCAACACATCATCAGACAAACCAGCCTCTTGTATAGTCATTCTGGAAAAGGAAATACACATTGTAAATGAAAAACTTTACCTAGAAATTAACAACAGTTATTTATAATTAAAAATTATGAAAACATATATTGTAGATGAAATTTTCATTTTGTTAATTCTTTCCGTTTACCATTAACATTATGTATTCATCAAATTTTCAAAGTGCCCTGCTTTCTAGCCACCAATTACTATGGCTGCCAACGGAATTACAAGAGCCTGTTACTGGGGACAAATAAGCTGCCAACAGAAATACAATCCAGGTGTAGAAAATAGAAGGGCACAATAACTATTCTATAGCAATATAGCACCCATAAGCATTTACAATATAGCACCCAACTGAAAACATTTGCCACCCGATCCTCCAATTTATTCTCATATTTCAAACTTTGATAAATAACTATTTGAGCAGCTACGTTCTCAAAGGTGAAGCATATGAATCCCACTTCCACAAACAAAACATGTCTAATTTAATTATATTTTTCTTTTTCATTTTTCTCCAATAAAAATACTTGAACTGAGGACACACCACGACAATTCTGACCCTTTCAGGTCCGAGTGTAAACAGGCCTTAGAAAGCAAAAAAGCGATATTTTGATAGACTTCAACATGGAACAAGAGTCAGGTGAATAACATCTCCGTCTTTGGATGCTTATGCTCAGGCACAAGCAAGACTTAGCGTAAAAAAAATTTACTACTGTGAGTAACAAAGTGATAGGAGTACACACTTAATGAAATCAAAACTTCACCGGAGATTATAGAATGACAACATCACAACAAAAATTAAAGTACATCTAGAAATGATACTGAATAGATAACTATTCAATGGAACATATACTAATCAGATATGAAAACTATTAGAATGACAGATGAGTAGGCGAGGATAAGTATTTTGTAAAGAAGGTGATGATGATAATTATGATCATTATGACAAACACAATTAAGATCTGAAAAGTGAAAACTTTAGAATGTCAGATGAGGTGTTATTAACCGGTCATTTGGTAATTTGAAGTGAGATTTCTGAACCTTGGACACTTTTTTATTTCACAACATAAAGTTAAGGAATTCCAAGAACCCTGCAAATCGTTAATTATGGTATGGGCATAGCATACTAGTATTTGTTAGATGGTTTTTAACTTCCTGTGTCTACTTGCAAGAGCCTTCTTACCTTGAGATTACCTAGCTATATCTCACACCGTATGATGTACCTTTCTATTTTTTGAATATTGATTACTGCTACATTACATTTGTTAGATGATTAAATATCTAGTCGATGTTAAAAGCACATGTACATTGTACTACTTCCAAACTTTCATATCTTTTTGCCTCATGGTTCTTAATGTTATCAATTTATCACAATCTTTCTGATTTGTTTTTAATGAATTATGTTATTAAAAGACGACGCCAACCAGCCTGCAGGTTCCTTCCATTTTTCTTTAAAGGTAAGTGAACCACCAATATAATACATGATGAGAAACAAATTTGGAGGTATAGTACATGTAGCATGTTATGAGGTATAATCAGCAATCCACATATATCTTTCATCTTGGCTACTCACAGTCACGCCAGATTATTTCACCTTTACAACAATTTTCCCATAACTCTCCTTGAGAACAAAACAAGAGTCCGTTAACATAAAGAAACAGTGGTTGCTCGTATAGTTTGAAATTGCCAATCTATACTCTGTTTATCCCTGTTCTGAACTGTACTATTTTCTAACAATCACATTTTTTATACATTATTACCAATTGTAGATTATTGGTCATGAAATGTATTTATTCTTATTATGTTAGCCAGATGAGGAAGTTATGATTTTATCACCTGTATGATTTTCCATACAGTAATAATGTAATATTCACCTGTACTGCAGCAATCCGAAAGAGCTCAAAGAAACCTATCTTTTGCCTATTCTGCTGTTTTTTACTCAAAAAGGATTTGGAAGGGGCTTGAAAGTACTTTAGTAGACCTCACTAGATCTTATGTGGGCCTGCCATGTAAAATAACTTCAAGGCCTGATTTTGGAGCCAAATGGAGGGAGGTGTAAGCAATCTAAAGCAGCACTTAACAAGGCAGTATACTGTATTAGGAATAATCTTTTCTTTCTCTTGAGAGAGCTCCGTGATTCCCAATGCATAAAAGAAAACTAGAGGTCTAAAAATTCTTGATCTATAGTACATCAGAGTAAAGAATATCAAAAACGCATTTTAAAAAGTACTTGAAGATTTGAAATTTTAGATGCGGTTTATATTACTTCTGGTAGTTTTCTGCAACCATGCATAGTCGATAGATTCATTACCATCAGGTAAACATATTGATCAAGCTAAGAAACAACATACTGTTGCTCACAATGAAGAGTATTTAATATTTCAAACAACATGATCTTCGACTCATTACCATTCTTCATCTATCCAAGGCCCAAAATAATGAATAAAAACAGGTTGAGTGCTCATTTGAACCAAGACAAGCCTATACCTCATAATGTGCTAACACCTTTAATTTTAGCATATAAGTATCGGTCAGGTACTGTCTACGCGTATATTCAATCATCTCTAATACCCAATTAATGTCATACGTAGAGATGATACATTTTCATACCAAAGTGGTTGTGTAAACTGTAAATGCTTATTACGTTCACGATACATACCCAAGGTCTTTTTTTCTGCTTTATCTGTGTTTCATTGTAATGCACAAGGAACCTCATGCAAACTGCCGTACTAAGTGTAATGAATCAACAATTATCTTAAACAATGAGCAAATTGGAAGAGATACACTCTAGGATTCAAGAAGGTAACAAGATATTCATCTTTGACAAGTAGTATTTGATTCATTAGTATCAAACAATTCTGTAACTACTGCTATTGAGGATAAATGAACAAAAAGAAAAGAGAATAAAGAACGATAAATATAAAGTTTACGCTTCTATGAATATTAATGTTCACTAACCGAAGAATATAATCTTCAACTTTTCCAAATTCTTTCTTTTCTTCTTCATCATCAACTATATCTTCCTCACTATCACTACAAATTAAAGCTTCGCCACAACTTTGGTCATAATAGATTCTTCTTCGACCAACAACAGACTGATCTTCTGCCATCCTTTGATTTCTGCCACACAAAAAAAGGATTATAGTCAAACTTTTCGAGGGCCACCATTTGAACTGTTGAATAAATAATTAATGGTGGGAAAAAATGGCATGTACAAAAGAAGCAAGAGGTTGCATGAACTTATTTATATGCTATACCTTAAAGGTGTCTTTTCTTGTTGAATAGTCTTAATATTCACGGAAATCCAAAGGCTTTGAAGTATGCACAGGGATCAGAGATGACCAATTAATGGATTTACAAGACTTAAGAGTCTTAACACTTGTTTATTCTTGTTCTTTATGATTGTGCTTGTATTTTTAAGAGTTGTTTACAAATATCTCCGTGTCACGGTGTGCGTGGGAGTGCAAGCATGGCAGTGTGTGCATGCGTCTGTTGATGCACGTGTATGTGCATGTGTGCGCATAAGCGTATGTTGATGCATGTTTGTGTGGGGAAGGGGATTACATATTTTATACATAGGTTGTAGGAAATATCTATGAAAATTCATTTTAGACGATCCATGATGTTCCAAATAACAGATTATAATCTAACATTTCAAAACTCAAACCAGTTTTAAAGAAGCTGTTGGATTGAAAATTTCTAGTTTATACATCTCATAATCGAACAGCAGTCTATGAAAATTTTAAAAGTTAGTGACCTTAAGTTGCTAGAATTATAGGATACAAAATTCTAAACCACTCATTTTTTTATCAACCTAGGTTTTGTGATGTATAGATCACAATGAAAAGTTTGGATCATCAAGACGGACGATTAATGTGCATTTTCATACATAGACATGAACCTTTTAATAACACTCCATATGTACACTTCCTCCCTCTCTCTCAAGAGGAAGGTGAGATATATTGAGTATGAAATGCCACCTCATTAGGAAAAATGAGTTACAGATCATGCCATTTTGTTTTTTGTTTTTTTACAAACACTTCTAGGGAAAAAGGGTTTTGGAGTGTCACACTAGCTCCTTGATTAGTGTATTGTTGATGTGGCAAGCAGCCAATCACTTTATTTAAAGGGTTAGTTAAGCATCAATCCCTTAAATCTTCAATAATTCCACATTAGTCACTCAAAGCTTTAAAATTTCTTATACGTCTCTCGGATCCTATGGGGTCTCGCAATTTGGTCTCACAACGAACAAAATATCCCTCAGTCAATTTACATACATATGCGTGCAGACATGCATGAATGCGTGCAGACATGCATGAATGCGTGCAGACATGCATGAATGCGTGCAGACATGCATGAATGCATCATGCATGCATGCATACATATATACATACAGGTATAGATATATACATATCATACAGTAAGCAGGGAAGCCATCTTTTTAGAAAATACCATGATCAAAAGAAAATAAAATTTCTTGATAATAATTCACACGTGAGATGCTTTTCTATCTGTACCACAAATAATAAAATAAATGAAAGTCCTGCTTGTGCATTATAAGAACATGAACTGATGAAAGTATGGTTTAAGTAGCGAGTTTCTTTAGTTAAAGATCTATAAATTAGAGGCTGAACAAATATTAAAACTAAGGATTTTTAAGTGTTCTTAAATCATGGCCAAAAAGTAGGATTGAGCAATTGTTATGCGCAAAATCATAGATCTAACCAACATGCACTTTGGAAGATAGGCATGCCTAAGCTCTACACAAGAATGGCAATTCTCAACGACAGCTAAATAGGCAGACAACAGTTAAATAAAAGCATATGCGGAGGTGAACAAGATCCAAGCATATTACTCAATTAAAATAAATTTTTCCTGATACTTATATGAAGATTTTGTAATGCACACATATATATGTATTCCATCTATTTAATGGATACACAATGTTGTATGGTTATGTTTATTGTTACCTGTCCAAAAATATCCACGTAGTGTATGGAGGTAGTTTAGAAACTTCAGACAGTTTGATTGGACGAGTGGCATTCTTTCCAATAATATTGTTCCCAAACAAAACAGGAGATGAAGCATTTGAACTTTCTTCTTGGCAAGAATTGTCATCCTTTTCTCCACAAGACAAATCAACACCAGTCAGCATACCTAGTGCATCCTCTTGCCTTCTAGTCAACAAATCTGCACCTGATACAGTACTACCCATTGTAACATTCCTCCTAATTGTTGACAAATGATGGGCATGATCTGTGATAGCACTCAGTTTCTGCTTGTTCTCTTCCACTTTTCTCTGAAATATAATACATTTATTAAATGTATAGACTTGCATGTTAGTTAGCACAGAACTACACCAACAGTGAGGTTCTGCACCAAGTAAAAGTGGAATAACTATTAATATCAAGCAGCTAAGTTTGCAGAAGTTACCTTAACATAGGAACAACGATCAACGACGACTTGGTCCTTCAAGGAATCAATAATTTTTAAAACATATGGAGAAGCACAGCTTCCTTCTTTCGCTCCAATAATCTGTATGTGACATGCATAACCAATATCTCTTGTAAAATTATTGTTGGTTAGACATCTAGTGTGTACATGTTAAGTGCATGTCAGCACACAAAAAATTATATTTAGCGATGGTAACCTATATTTAACGAGGTATAACCAATTATTCTCTTGCAAATAGTTGTTTATTATAGATGGCATTCTGTGTCCATGTGTTTATTTGGGTAACCAAATTATAAACACAAACACCAATATTTGTGTGTTTGCTAGACAATAATCTACTTACATAATAGATACGTTTCTAAAAGGTACACATCTTTGTGTGTGTCTTACATATAGGCTTTCGGTTGGGGTCTTTTTATTATAAGGTGGTATAGGATTTGGACATAATAGCAAATACCCACGATACTCTTCTACATATATGTCATGTATACCACCCAAATCATCCAATTTGTCGACTAACCCCCTAAATTAAGATATTTGCTATTATCCCAAGTTTGAACCTATAACCTTCTGCCCTAAAAATTTCTGAAAATTACAGACAACACTTCAAAAAATTAAAAACTACAAAGAACCCCCTTAAGAAACAAAAAACTACATACACCTAGCTAAGAAATGCAAACAACACCATGGAAAATATGAAAGTTGCAAACATCCCCTTAAATTCCAAAATTACAACCAACCTCTGAAAAAAATCCAAAAATTACAGACCCATAAAAATCTAAAATTTATAACATACCCTGAAAATCTACGAAATTGCAAAACAAACCCTTAAAATATGAAAACTGCAAACAACCAAATTTCAGTTTTTTTGCAGGATTGTTTGCAATTGTTAAGATTTTCCAAAGGGCTTGTTTATAATGTTTGAAGTTTTAGGGGGTTGTTTGTAAGTTTTGGATTGCTTTCAGGGGACTTCTTATAATATTAGGATCTTTTAGGGTGCTATTGTAATTTTTAGATTGTTCAGGGGGCTATTTCCAATTTTTGAAATTTAAGGGGTCATTTGCAGTGTTTAGATTTTCCAGGGGTTATTTGCATTTTTCAGTTTCAGGGGATTCTTTGTAATTTTGATTTTTTCAAGGAGCTCTTTGTAACTTTTTATGTTTTTAAAGATTGTTTGTAATTTTCATATTTTTTATTTTAGGGCAAAAGAAGTTCTTAAATTTGGAGGTTAAGTTAAATTTAACTAACAATTTGAGAAGGAAGTCATAGGTATTTTTTAAGGGCAATCGGGTCCTTTCTGGTCTTATCCCAGTTGGGAAATAGTTTGAGTACTATAATAACATCCTTCCTCCTCCTTTGTTTAGTCAAGAATTTCTGACTAATTTAGTTAAAAGGACTAATTAGTCCAACCAAATCCTCCCTAAAAAAATTGAACCAAACACCCCACTATTTTATTACGAGCATGCACAATTAGTCCTATCCAAACATGACCATATATATGTATTACGAGTATGCATGTACAAGGAAGGATACAACGAAATGGTAAATGAGAATATTATCATAAGATGGCTTAATTGCTTATACAAATCAATGATATGCACAATCAATCTTGTTCTGTATATCTCAAGATTAGTACACACAAGCATCCACTCAATATAGAGCTTTCTAATCAATGTATGAAGTGCAAAATTAATTGTCTTTAAGATGTTTGAATAATTATCTACATTATATTGTCTTGATCTATGATTTGACCATTTGAGAAGGCACCCAAATATCCAAATTTATTAACATGTAAAGTAGGTTAATAATTAAAATAGACAATGTTGAATGTCAATTTGTGTAATCAATTGGAACATTTCACAAAAGGACATCATCCCAACATCTATTGTATTTATTCTCATATATGTTCGACTTTTCCACATCGCATATTAGCTCGCTTTACAAAATGAGCGGACACTTCATACCCGGTGGCCTCTGTATGTTTGTGAGTGTATAGTATTTGCATGTCCGCTTGTGTGCATGCATGCATGTGTTTGTGCATCAAAAAGAGTTGAGATAAGCTACAATAGGTTAGCATCTGAGTTGTATGGAAATGGGTATGGGTATCGATGCGGGTCTGCGACACGACAAACTTGTAAAATGTAATGTACGAGGGCTACATATATATTGAAATTAATAATTTACATGAGATCATTATTATTCTTCTAATCCATGTATTATTAGCACTAATATTCCTATCACAATTTTTAAGTTTCTTTTACTTATGTTAATTAGTATATGCTGGAAACTACTCGTTTTTTAACAAGACACCTAAATAGCCCTTTAAAATTATAGTTTTTAACTTGGTTATGGGCTAAAACGAACATGACCTAGTCTAATGAGTTTCAAGAAATGGATATGAAGTTAGAATATACACCCAGGAAGTGCATGACAAGTGTTTTAATAAAAATGCATATCATATAATGGAATACATGTCTGAATAAATGTATGTGTATATCTAAGAAGTGTCCATGAAGTTTCGGTACAGATGTGTGTCGGCTACGTATTGGGTACGAGTATGGCTTCATGATAGAAGCACCCCCATTAACATAGGTTAGCATCCAAGATTGAGATACTACCATCCCAGATTTAAAATATAAGCCCTTCAATGAAAATTTGTAACGTTCAATTGGTATAAAAATAGCTAGAAATAAAATTTTAATGATTTAAACATGTTTTAACCATCACAAAGGAAAATTACTCAATTATATGAAAATTGATACACATTGTTTTTGTCCACTTACTATATGTGTGAAATACATCAAAATCATTTCGCCTTTCCTTTACTTGATCAGGTTCATAGGCATATATCTCATATCTCAGTTTAACAGGCTGGTTTTAATTTGGTGATACCAATCGCGTCTTGAACATCATTGATACTAGCATACCATGTTCAAGGCACAAATTTCAATTTAAGAGATTGGTTTAAATGTATGATGATAGTACTCGCATCTTGAATATCATTTGATAGTAGTATGCGCCTCGCGCGCATCTCGTGTAAGCTTGACACTTGTGTCATGTAATAGACTATTTCTTCTGTTTTTTTAAAATAATTTACATATTACATATTTACATCACGTAATAGACTCTTTCTTACTAGTTGTTAATCTATTCTTCACCTTTTCATGTTTAACATATAAAAAAACAATAATTAGTAATTTAGTATACTTGTTTGCTAATTGTAACTTCCTTCTCTAACTAGCATGCTAACTAGAAAATTATGAACATGTAAATATGTAATTGTTACCTTTATTCTTCATCTTTTTATGCTAACTAGCAAATAGTATTTAAGAATGCTAACTAGAAAATTATAAACAGTCATGTTTTTTTAATCACTTAATTGTTACTTAAAAGTACATATATCATATTTTAAATAAAAATACATATTTCTTATTTGTACTTGCTTGTTTTGTTTCATAGACTTTTGCTTATGTTGGAGATTATCTTACATTGTGATTTGATAAAACTTATGAATTTCTCTATGTTATGCATGTTAATTAAGATGAAATTATATTTCTTGGTCTTTTTATGTGATAATTTATAAACATGTTGCTTATATGCTTATTTGTCTTATGTTAAAAAATATTAATTTGAGTTGTGCGTCTCAATTCAGTGAGGCACGCACATCGTTGTGCGCCTTGCGCATTGTGCGCTTAAGGGGCCTTTCAGCCCCGCATTGCGTCTTGCGCCTCGATAACAATGTTTGTGGCTAAGAAATAAAGTGAAGGCATCATTAAAGCTTTCTTTCACACTACCAAACCAAGTAGGACATGTATTATATTTTATAAAGAATGAATAATATAGTGTTGGACTTGTAAAAATATATCAATATCCAAGTAAAAGTCTTCAGATTCTGGGAACAGACAAGCAAATATAATCTACATATTCAAGTCGTAATATGGAAAAAAAGAAAACACGGTTTCTTTCTTAGCCCTACTTATGTAGTTAAGGATTTTGCAGCTTATTATCTTGGTAAATTGTCAATTTCACTCCTTAAATTTCAAAGAAAACAATTCATAACAAGTTTCATTCTTACCTAGGTAACATCCGCAGATTCTAGTAGAATAATGTCTTATGCAAGCTCACTAATAGAGTTTTAAAGTATCATTATCCTTTTTTGGTTAAATTATTCTATAAGATTTAAACCATTAAGGAGTTGCACATAAAAATAATAAAATCAATATGATATGAGTAACAACTATTATTCGTAATAATTTTAATTCCTAAGGGCCTATTTTATTAGAAAGCATATGTAAACAAAATTAGTATATAAGGAGTTACTGATAGAAGCTATAGTTTTTATAGTTCACATGTCAAATTATGATTTTTCTTTTTTTTTCTTTTTCTTTTTCTTTTGTGGGTAAGATAAATATAAAAAAAATACATTTAGATCTTCGATCCAGTAATCAACATCTATGTCTAATTGCCACATGAGATACAAATGAAAATAAATAGAAAGGCAGGAGCAACATGAGCACACAAGTACATTGTCCTCCCTATGATGTTTCAGCTTTGCAAGCAATGCACGACCTGCTAGTTTCCCACGTGAATCATCAAACCTAAGGATCCCAGCTATACAATCTGACAACAAAGTGAGTCGCTTTTCTCTTTTTACAGATTAAATCTACAGTAATCCGTGAATCATTTTCATTGGATATTCTTCATCTAAATTCTCCCAAATATATGAATGAAATCTATCTATGCCACAAGAGTCACATGTTGGAGATAATCGCACCAGTCTGAGTCTGGGCATCTCCTAATCCAGACCATGCACAGGTTCACTGCTTAGGACATCATTACTTAGGCTTAGGCGACCTTCGATATGCTTTCCTTACGTAAAATTGTTCTACCTTCACGTTTCTTCCTTATGAACATCAGACCATTCTAAACCTATAGTCAATAGTAACATAACAAATTTCCATAAAAGCTTCAAGTAAATGAGCTCAATCAACATTAACAGGAGTTTCTTCCCTCCTCAAAAACCCATCAAGGTAAACAAGATAGCAAGTAGCTTGTTCAACTACCCGCATTCAGATAATGGGCATTATTTGTGCACATTTAGATTTAATAGGCAGCCTTACCATATTAAAGCATTCAAGCAATTGACGAAGAGCTCTCCATCCTCTTGCACCACTTGCGAAAGAGACATAACCTTCAGCATTTTTTTTTCAAAAGATTACAAAACTAAAAATAAAATATTAAGCTCTCGATCAACTCTTATCAAACTTATGGCGTTACCAAGCTAATTTCCATCATATCAAGCTTTCACATAAAATCTAAAACCTTAAGTTGTTCGAGCAACATTTATAAAAGCATTCTCATCACCGAAAACCTGACTAGATTAGATAAATATGTGAAAAAGAAGCTAGCCTATAGTAATTCATGGAAAAAGAAAGCTAGAGGCAGGCCTAAACAGAAGAAACTACAAACGAAGAACGTGAGGGGAAGAGTAGGGTTCATGTATCCAACCCCAAAATTCTGGAGGCTTTGTTGTTGTTATCCCTGTGCAGAAAAGGGACTGCATACATAAGAAAGGGCTACTTGCAGCTTCTATTAAATTGAAAGATTAAACAAGCAAAATTCCATCTATCTATCCAGATAATAACATATCAAGCTATCAAGCTTCATGTAAGAGTTCAAACGTTCAGCTATTCGACTTGCATTTATAAATTAGAGCAAACATGTGCAAAAAGGAACAAATTCAAGGGCGCTAACTACAAAATCTAAAATGCGGAGGTCCAGCTGAGCAGAATCGGAGTCCGTTTCTCGAAAAGAAACGGATCGGGCTTACCTCCTGCTGGGTTCGACGAGATGGAGACAGTTCACCACAATTGAGTAAAATGGATGGGTTAACTCAAGAGAGGACTTACATTATCGCCGCCGGAGATTTGACGGCGACTCGCCGTGGCCATGGGGCTCGACCGCGCCGCCGCGTCGCGGATCAGGGTTTTGAAGGAGAGAGGGGCTCAGAATTTTTGACCGGGTGGTTGAGGGCCTTCTGACTCCTTGCTTATTACAGGTTAGGAGCTGGAATTGGGTCCGGTCCGGGGGGCGGTTCGGGTAGTGGGTTTTGATCGGGAGAATTCAAAGAGGTACGTGCTCTTTGCACGTGTGAACTTTAAATTTTAAAGGGCTTTTTGAATGTTAGTTCCTAGAATCTTGAATATTTGACTTAAGTCCCTCAAAATCATTGAAACTGCAATTAGGGCCCTCAAAACATCAGATTTCTTGCAGTGTGATCCCTCTGTCTAATTTAACATCTATTTTGTTAATGAATTTGAATCCTCTCCACTACAAAAAAGTAGTTGAGAGTAGTTGAGTGAATACTATTTTTAATCCCAACTATTAATTATACAGATGATGATTATGATATATTATAATTCTAACACCCACTGTATCCCCAATGTATTGTACTCATTCCTAATTTGCACTCGGATAAAAAAATCATAACCATATACTACATAACATATGGTAATGATTTAGTAGTGATCTTTCCACTATATTTTTTATTAGTGGAGAGGATCCGAATCATTTGTTAATTGGAATAGGGTTAGAACTTTTATTCCATATGGTAACAACTAAAATGCTGATGGGTGTCATTTTATCTAAAAATTCATATTTCCCTCGCTTGGCTCTCTTTTCTCTTGGTAGAAATGGGATACAAAATTTCCCCCAAATCTTATGAAATTCCCCTCATTTACCTCTCCCTACTTGATTGCAAGTTCCCCTTTTAGTAAATGTTTCCATAATCTTGCACATTTGAGGAAGATAATTTTGCATATCAATTCTCATTTTGTGATGTTTTATGATTTGTTCTGATGATTTTGAATAAATATGGTAGCTTGCAATGTTACGCAAAGACGCTAGCCGAACTAGGCGTTTGAGCCAGCGCCTAGCACCTAGTGTCACGGGCTGATTCTTTCACCACAAACCTAACTCGAACTCGTGCGGCACTTATTCACTCTTTACCTCACTAGAATGGTTATGTCAGCCTAATACCTCAAACACTCACTCAAGAGAAGGTAAGAGAGCACTCATGAATGAAAGTGGAAGCTCTTATTGCTTTATTACTTAGCAACTCTTGCTTGATCCAAATGGATTATCTTAGCCCCCTATTTATAGGCAATGCTAGCTTACAATGGATGGCTATGCTTAGCCTTCTAGATTGTTCTTACAATCAATGGTTAGGATTGAGTCTCTAGACACTTCTCCTAAAAAATCACCCTAGATATTTACATGGGACTTTCCTAGAAACTTCTAGATACAAGATATTTATTATATCTTTATTATGTAAGAAAACTCTAGAAAACCCTAGGATTTTTATGGACCTAACCATGAATAAGTGAGTCCAAGTACACCCAATTGAGCTAAAATAGGACGGTTCATGACATTCTTCCTCGCCTATCCGAGCGATGCCCTCATCGCTTAGTCTTCTCCTGACGAAACTTCTCGATCAAGTCTTCAAACTGCCACAAGGATGGCGTCGGTTCCCAACTGTTCTCACTGTCGGGTAAGCTTTTCCACTTCACAAAGTACTCTAACCTCGGGTGGTTGTTGGCTTCATGAACCATCCTATTCGCGAGAATTTCTTCGGCCTCCTAGTCGAACTCCATGTGAATCCTTGTTGGTGCTCAACTAGACTTTCCTATATCTAGATCTTCTGTATCTTGATGATATGGCTTCAACATACTCACATGGAAGACCGGATGATACTTCACAGTTGGGGGAAGCTTTACCATGTAAGCTACGTTCCCCACTTTTTTCTCGATCAGAAATGAGACCTCATACTTGCGTATCAAGCTCTTGTGTAGCCCTTTATGTCGATCTAATGTAGAAAGCCTGACAAGGACCAAGTCTCCAACTTGATACTCCATATGTCTTTGCTTCTTGTCGGCCCATTTCTTCATCTTCTTTGCCGCCTTGTTCAAGCACGAGCGTGCCAATTCGTTCTGATCTTACCACCCCTTGGCAAATCGGTAAGCAACTAGGCTATTTCCCTTATAACCTGTAGCAATAGCGTTTGGAGTGAGTGGTTGCTTACCTGTGACAATCTCAAATGGGCTCCTCCTAGTAGACTCACTCCTTTACAAATTGTAGGATAATTGGACTATGTCCAGTAGCTTCGCCCAATCCTACCGGTTGGCACTCACATTGTGTCTCAAGTATACCTCCAACAAGTCATTTACCCGCTCTGTCTGGCCATCTGTCTTAGGGTGGAAGCTAGTGGAAAAGTTTAGATCTGACCCCATGAGTTTGAAGAGTTCCATCCAGAACCTTCCTGTGAAGCGGCCATCCCGATCACTTACGATGGACTTTGGTAGCCCCCAATACTTCACCACGTACTTCAGAAATAGTGGTGTCGCTACCTCAGATGGATACTTAGCTGGGGCTGGAATGAAAATGTCATATTTAGAGAACCGGTCAACCACCACCATAAGAATGCTGCATCCATCTGACATGAGTAGACTCATGATGAAGTCCATGGAAATGATTTTCTAAGGTCGCTCTGGAATAGGTAATGGTTCTAATAGTCTGGTCGGCGTTCTCTGCTCTGTCTTGTCTTGTTGGCACACAAGACAAGTCTTCACGTAGGCCTCAACATCATCCTTTATGCGAGGCCAATAATACATCTCTTCTACAAGAGCTAGAGTTCTATGCACACCTGGATGTCCCACCCATTGAGAGTCATGATATTCTTTAAGGATCTCCCGCCTTAGATTCCCGAACAATGGTATGTACACCCGTCTCCCTTTGGTATAAAGCAGGTCTCCTTCTAGCCAGAACCTTTGAGTCTTGCCTTCTTTTACATAGTCCACCATGTTCTTGGTTGTAGGATCATGAGACAAACCTTCCTTAATACGACCAAGTAAGGTGCTCTGAGGATGACTTATCATAGCAGCAAGTTCCGTCTTCCGGCTTAACGCATCTTCCACTAAGTTGATTTTTCCCGGTTTGTACTTGAGCACATAGTCAAACTCTGCCAAGAAATCCTACCATCGTGCCTACTTAGGAGATAACTTCTTCTAAGTCTGGAAATAGCTGGTGGCCACATGATGCGGCATAAACATGTACCAAAAAGGTTGCAAGTGCACAACCGTGTCAAGTTATAGTATAAAGATATCGATCCCACGAGGAAGGTGTTTTTGTAGGAAAAAATATAAAATCGGTTCTTATGTTGTATGCGTGACAAATAGGAGTGATGAGTGAATGTGATTGTGGAGAGATAATGAGAGTGATAGTGTGTAGATCAATGTGTTTGAGAATAAATGTGATCAATAAGGCAAGAAAGAAGAATGAATAAAATTGAGAAACAAATCAAAAATAAAATTCAAGAATAAAAAAATGCAAGAAATTAAAGATGATGGATTCAATTATAGATATTGGTAATCTAAAATTGAACCAACTTCTTAGAAAATGGTGATTCCCTAGAGGGTTCTAGCCTAAAGGCGAATCAAACAAAATAAAAATAAACAAAAAGAAAAACTAAACCCAAGAGGGTTCTAGCCTCAAGGTGAATAGTGCAAGAAATTAAAATCTAACTACAAAATAAATTGCAAAATCTAAACTACAGAATAAATTACAAGAATTAAATGCAAGAAAATAAATCTACTCTATAAGCATGAAATAAATCTAAGGCAAGAGGGTTCTAGCCTCTTGGCTATTTAACAAGAAAATAAAATCTAACTATAAGCATAGAAATAAATCTAAACTAATAAGCAATAAAAAAGAAATAAAAAAGAAAAAGAAAAGAAATGCAAACCTCTAAACAATTCTTCATCTATATCTTCATCATCCAAAAAAGAGAAGAAATATTTAAAGTGGTGAAAAAATTATTATTATTAATTGTAATAAAAGTTACAAATTTGGAAGGCCTTCTCAATTAAGAGTAGCACTCCTCTCCAAAAGGAGTTACAAAAATTTTCACACCTCTAACCCCTCACTCTCTACCCCTATTTATAGTAAACATCAGTGAATGAGAGCCATTGGATTTAAATCTTATCCAAAAACATCAAAAATCAGCCTTAGATTCGTAACTAACTGCCCAGGGTATCGATGCCTGTATTGATACAGGCATCGATGCAGGCATCGATGCCGCCATCGATGCAGGCATCGATGCCTGCCCTTCTCCTGTGTGCTGTCCGCAGATCCTCTTGTATTTGGCTTTTGGGTTTGGGTCTTTGGCTTTAGCTTGGACTTTTGGGCTTTGACATTTGGGCTTTGGCATTTTATCTTGATTTTTCCAATGGGCTTTGATTTATTTCTTCATTAAATATTTGAAAGAATTCCTTTGGCTGCATGGGCTTCATTTCTTCATTAAATCAAGGGCTTTTTGTTGAGAGATTGGAGTTTAAGATTTATTCTTCATTAACCTGTAATTAAAGATAAGAACAATTATTAGTAGCATATTTATTCATATAAAATAGATAATGAGTGTATAAAATTATAATAAAATATGATTATCAAATACCTCCACACCTAAACTTTTGCTAGTCCTCTAGCAAAGAAAGAAAACTGAAAGAAAACATAACTCACTTTTGCAGGAATCGTGGTTGTATTTAGCACATACAACAAGCATTTAAACCCCTAGGTTACCCTAGTGGACGAGTTGTAGTCTCGTGAGGGTTTGCAGTGAATATACCCACAAAATTCGGTCAATTTGCCAAATTAAAGAAGTCAGTAAATAACTAAATTCACTTGATAACTTTAAACAATCTAATTGAAGCTAGTTTATCACTCAAGAAAACATTTTTATATATAACTCTAAGGTATATTTTCAAGAAAATCTTCTCATTGTAGCAATACAAAACCAAGCCAAACTTAGAAATTTAATTTAAAAGTTTTGAAAAGAACATGCTAACTCTTTGTTTTAAATAATTTTTAAGTTGCTTGATCTAAAATATTTTCCAAGACCATATATATAACTATAAAACATTTAT